GCAAAAGCAGCAAACTCCCTGTCACCTGGATGTGCAGGCAGAGGACAGGGAATGGTTGGAGGGACATTGTGAAGACCCACACGTCACCCAGGACCAGACACAAGGAACAGCACTGAGGGTGAGGGCGCTGATGGCGACTGGTGCTCACGATGGTGATGGTGGTGATGAAGGTGATGGATGTGGAGATGGTGATGGAGGTGATGGAGATGGTGTTGGAGATAGTGACAGAATGCTGATGGCCTTGATAATAAAACTGTCTCATGACTCCCTGAGCAGGAAGACATCTAGCCAGAGGGTGACTCAGGGGGGGTTCATGGAGGCCCAGAAACAAAGGCATTAGGGACACAGCTTCTTCTTTTGTGGCTTTCATTCTCACTTTTCATTCTCCTCCTGATCATACAACAGCTGCTGCAGAGCCTGACATCACATCTTTACACATGACCAAGCAGGAAAGAAAGCAATGGCCTTTTTGCACATTTCTTGCCTGTCATCAGGGAGGTCATTGTCTGGGCCTGGGCAACATGGCCTCCCTCCTGCATCCTCTACAGTGAGCAGGACCCAGGCCAAAGAACCTTTCTGCAGAGATTGCACAGCAGCCAAGAAGCTAGAAAAAAGGTGGCTTCCCAAGGCCGAGTAGCCAAGCTCATCAGACCGAGTCAGGCCCAGCCCAGCCCAGCAGTCCCCCAGGCCCCCAGGAGGTGGGAGAGCAGAGTCACAGCCGTGCTTCAGGGCAGACCCACAGACCATGCTCTGCAACGTCTGGATTGGATGGAGAGGGAATGAACGGAGGCTATGGTGGAGGCCTTCGAGGGTCTTGGATGCCAGGCTCCGGTGCCTGGGGCAGCGGCAGATCTCTAAGGAAGGGGCCAGGCCCAACTGGTGCAGACTGCAGGGGCGGCCTGGAGGCCAGAGTGGGGCAGCCAGGACAGCAGAGGTGGGTGGGAGCCAGTCTTGAGGTCCTCAGCAGGTCCTTGGCGAGAGCCGCCAGCCCTCCGCTCTGATCCATTACGCTCCTTGCCCATCTGAGCCAGTCCCAGGAGTGGCCCTCCCTCCAGAGGGCCTCAGCCTGCTGTCGGAACTCAGCTGTGCCAAACCCATCACCGCTGATCAATATGCAATGGATTCGGTCTTCGGGCCGGTGCACGAAGCCGGCCGGGCCGCGGATCCTGCCACATTCTGACAAGACAGATTGGTTTCTGGAAATCTTCTGGGAGGGGAGGGGAGAAAAGCAAGCCTCATTTTTTTTTTCCTGCCTCATCTTTAAAAATGAAATTTCACATAAACCTAAGGGAAAGTGCTCAGCCTGGCTCACAGGAGAAAACCGTTCCCTTGGCGTGCAGTCAAGAAGACGGCAGCTCCCCTTGCCCCAGCACCAGCCGGGCTCAAGAGACAGGGGTCTCCCCTGACCTTGCAGGCACCTGTGAGGACACAGAGGGACAGGCAGCCATGACCCCCAGCTGGGAGCTCATGGCCACGTGCAGGAAGAGGAGGACACTCAGGGCCAGTGTGGACCTCGAACTACCTGGCCTGAGGCCTCCTTCCCACAGACGGGGAAACTGAGCCCAGGAAGGCAAGAGGCGCATGGCCTGCTGGGCAGCGCGTACAGAGTGACCGGGGTTTAAGTTCACACCTGGTGGCTCCAGAGGCCCAAAAACCAGGCGGAAAGGGCTGTGGGGTGTGGGATGCCAGGGTCTGCACTGGAAGCTGCCAGGTGGAGGCCCGTTCTCTCCTGGGCCGCCTGCGCCCAGAGGGCATCTAGCACGACTGAGGCTGGAGGACAGGCACTCTCAGCCTTGCCCTTGGCACCGCCATCACCACACTTTAACTGAGCTTCGGAGCGGCGTGTAGGAGGACAGCAAAGGAGCCCAGATCCAGCCAGGGCCACCAGGGAGGCTTCCTGGAGGAGGAACCTTGTGCAACTTTCCTTGAAGGAAGAGCCCAGGGACAGACGGGGCCAAGTATGGCTGAGCCCTGTGAACAGCATGCACCAATGTCCAGAGGCCATGAGGCAGTGACAGACAGCCTAGAGCGCAAGGGCTGAGGAGCTGTCTGAAAGAGCCAGGTGACAGTGAGCAGGCCTAGGAGACAGCGCAGAGCTCAGCCCTACGCTGGAGTCTGCCTGCAGCAGTGGGCACGTGCAGTGTGGTGCATATAGGTGTGCATGTGTGTACACACAGTAGACTGTGCTTGTGCATGCTAGTGTGCACACTCACATGTATGAGTAGACTTGTGCACTGTAACCACGCAAATGTGCACGCACATGTACATACACTTAAATGCATATACCTATGCATACATTACATGTGCACTTGGGCACATATGTGGTACACTGCACATGAGGGGCACGTACAGACATGCATGCAGTACTTTATGCACAGTGTGTGGACGTGTGCACGCAGGGTGTTTGTGTTTGCATGCACATGAACGTGAACATGTACACACAGGACACAGATACTCGGGGATACATGTATGCAAGTGTGGACACACATGCATATAAGAGGTGTGTGTGGGCATGCACACCTGAGCAAGCCAAGGTAGTTCAGGACCAGCTCCCCTCTGCACATGCCAAGGCTGCTCATGAGGTATGGTGCACAGCACCCAGGGTGGCCCTGGCCCCGGCAAGGCAGCTGTGGCTGTGTGGCCCTGGAGGGACCAACCTGCTCTTCTGGGGTGGGACGAGCTCTGTCTCTGCAGTCCCAGCATCTCCAGCTCCATGCAGCTTTTCCCCTGGGAGGCACCTGCCCCCTCCTGACATGCTCCCACGCACGTGTGCACAGACCCACCCACCAGGGCAGCCGACCCCCACAGCATTCTCCCACCTCACTCAAGCCCAGCCTGGGCCTGGTCGCCAACCACTCACAGGACAGCCATCTTTCTGGGCCCACGCCATTGGCTGGCTGCAGACATCTGGAGCAGTCTGACAAGCCAAATTTTCAACATCTGGACAAAGAGGCTTCTCTAGCTCCCTTGCAAACAGCATCCTCCTGGGGCCTCGGCACCAGGAAGGCCATGTACCATGCAGCCCCAGCACAGCCCAGGGCTCCCAAGGGGAGAGCTTGGTGCCCTCTGCCTCGCAGCCCTTGGATGGCCCCTCCTCTGCATTTTAGGAGACGTGGTCAGCAGCATCAGGCAACAGGAAGTCAGTGTCTCTGCCCAGGGCTGGGCCACTCACAGGCTGGGCACTCCAAGCGCCCTCGGCTGACCTGGCCTTGCGAGCTGCTGCCTGAGCAGCGTGAAGTCCTGCTGGCTTCAGACCAGGTCTTGCTCTGCCCCTTCTCCTGCGAATGCCTGTGCTGGCTGCCACCGCCTGCAAACACAAGGCTGCCCGTGGAGCCAGGGCCCGGATGGACCTCCCCACAGCCCTATGTATCCTCCAAAACGCTTCTCAAGACAAGAGCCCTGATCCGGGGGGGTGGGGGGCAGCTGCCAGGAGAGGAGCCATCTCTCCAACACCTGCATCTGACCAATGCCACAGCCTTTGCCTGGATCCTCCTCTGGCTCCCCACATCTCCAGAGCAAAAGCCCCCTCCCCTAGGGAGCACAGCCTCTCTTCCTCATTCTTCAAATGCACATGGACACCTCCTCTGGAAACCTTCCCACAGGCCGGGGAGGAGCCCCAGGGCCTCAGTGGTGCTCAGTGCATCCACCTCAGTGTGGGCACTGTCCACCCCAATAGCAAGCGCCACAAGGCCAGGCCTCCCTGCACTCTGCACAAGATGACTGGCCACAGAGCAGGGCTCGAGCGCCCCAATGATGGAGAACACAGCGTGTGCGAGCTTCGACACAAATGCAAACCCAGGGGTCCTGATCTTGGCATTTTAACCCTCCAGGACCAAAAGAGCTTTTTAACAACGACAGTGGTTGTCCCCTCTCTGGACAGCACCTTTCACATGCCGGTCAGGGCTCTTTGCTGCTCCCATGTATATAAATGCCCAGGACTGACACAGGAGGCTTGGTCCTCCACTTGAACCCTGCTGCTGGCAAGCCCACCACCCAGAATGCTTGATTTCTGCCTGGCTACGGCTGGATACCTGCCAGAGGTATCCAGAGGCCAGAGGTCTATGGTGGCATCTGCTATGACAGCAGTGCCCCCTGATTAAGGCTGCCCAGCCTGAGTTCAGACCAGATGCTAAAGCTGACCCCTGTCAGGAGCTCAGAGACAGAGCCACTCCACAGTGGCACAGTTGTGGGCACTGCTGATGGGGGAGAAGAAAGCACCCAAAGACTTCCCCACATGCCTCTTGGGCACAGAGGCCATGTCACAACCAGTTTCCCTGCCTCTCTCACATCTGAGGGCAAGGGAGAACCCCTGGCCAGGGCACACGCATTTCTAGGCTGTGTGGAGGGTCCTCCCCTCCACCCTGCAGGGAGATGTAGGGCCTGGGAACTCCAGCTAGTCCTGGGCCCCCTCCTCCCTAGTCTGCATCCCACAGCCCAGGGCTGCCTGAAGGCAGGGACCAGGACCCAACACTCAGCCCAGACCCCAGTGACAGTACCTTTGTATAATGGATGCCCAGAGACGGCTCTCCCTAGGGTCTGCTCCCACAAGACCACCCGTCATCAGGCAGCTGTCGGGTTTGTCAAAGGCGGTGATTCTGAACATTCCCCCAGCCTTTAAAAGGAGGGTCACGCAGCGTAAGAAGTAAACTTCGATAACTGCCAACATGGGCACAGAGCTTGGGAGCCTGCCCAGGGCTTCCACTGGCACCGCCGTTATGATTCATGCTTCAGCGGCACTGGGAAGCGGGCAGGGGAGGGAACTGAGGCCGGTTGAGGAGGTGGCTCTGCAGGGGAGCACCGACCCCAAGCCTGACAGGGCCAGTATGCGCTAGGCGGTGCCGCGTCCGCTGCCAGGCGCAAGAGGCTCACTCTCTAATCAGGCCGTGGACCCCGAGCTAGCCAAGCTGCGCACTGGTGTGCACGCCGGCGCGCGCCAGAGCTTGTGCCGGGGGAGGTGAAGGAGCCGCCCGTCTTAGAAAGAGTAGGCTTCTAGAACTCACCGCCCAGGCCAGCCGGTGATCAGCCCAGTCCCGCAGGCTGCAGTTGGCCCTGGAGGGGGCGCCCTAGTCGAGCGCGCGCCCCGCGCCGCCGCCCCGGACTCCTCCCCGGCGCCGCGCGGGCAGGTTCGCCAAGGCGGCCGCGGGCTCGGGCGCCCGGCCCGCTCCCCCCGGGCCGGTGGCGCGGGCCTGCCCGGCGCCCCGCCCCGCGCACCCTCCCCGCTGCGCAACTCGACCCAAGTTGGAAACCGAGCCCAGCGGCGGCTGCACTCGCGCCGAGCGCACGGCAGCGGCGGCGGCGGCGGCGGCGGCGGCAGCGGCGCAGCACTGGCGAGCAAGGCAGGCGAGGCGGCGCCCGCACGGCCGAGCGCGGACCACGGGGGGCGCCCGCGCCCGGGAGCAGCAGGAGGACTGGCGGCGTTGCCGGCGCCCAGCCTGGGAAAGTAAAGTTGGAGCAGGAGGCTGGGCGCGGGGGCCCGGAGGAGCCGCATCCCGCGTCCCGGCGCGCCAAGTGCTAGCTGGCTGGATGGGAGGCGGAGCGCAGGGGCCAACGCCGCCTGCAGCCTGCGCCCGGGCCGGGCGCCGGGACCGTGGAGCCGTTCAGGCGCGCCGGCTGGGACGCCGTGTCGCCGTGGGCTCGTGGCCGGGACGCTCCCAGTGAGCGGGGCCGAGGGCGGGGCCGCGTGAGGACCCCGGGACCTGCCCCCCTTCCCCCAACCGCCGCGTCTCTGCTCGCTCCGGGCGCCTCCAGCTCTGCACTTACGCGCGCGGCAGCTGCAGGGAGCCCGGCAGCCACGCTCTTCGGCGCGCCGCCCGCCCGGCCACCACGGCCAAGGGCCGGCTACAGGGCGCCGCGGTTCCCGGCGGGCACGCCCGAGGAGCAGGCGGCGATGCGGGCGCCGACCCGGGCTGGGGGGCGCCGGAGCTGCCGCGGCTGCGCCCCGGCTCCTGGCAGGACCGCGTAGCTCGCGGGAGGACCATGGCTTCCCCGGCGCTGGCGGCGGCGCTGGCGGTGGCGGCGGCGGAGGGCCCCAACGCGAGCGGCGCCGGCGACGGGGGCAGCGGCGGGGGCGCCAACGCCTCAGGGGCTACCTGGGGGCCGCCACCAGGCCAGTACTCGGCCGGCGCTGTGGCGGGGCTGGCGGCCGTGGTGGGCTTCCTCATCGTCTTCACCGTGGTGGGCAACGTGCTGGTGGTAATCGCCGTGCTGACCAGTCGGGCGCTGCGCGCGCCACAGAACCTCTTCCTGGTGTCGCTGGCCTCGGCCGACATCCTGGTGGCCACGCTGGTTATGCCCTTCTCGCTGGCCAATGAGCTCATGGCCTACTGGTACTTTGGGCAGGTGTGGTGCGGTGTGTACCTGGCACTCGACGTGCTCTTCTGCACCTCGTCCATCGTGCACCTGTGCGCCATCAGCCTGGACCGCTACTGGTCGGTGACGCAGGCCGTCGAGTACAACCTGAAGCGTACACCTCGCCGCGTTAAGGCCACAATCGTGGCTGTGTGGCTCATCTCGGCCGTCATCTCCTTCCCACCGCTGGTCTCCTTCTACCGTCAGCCCGACGGAGCCGCCTACCCTCAGTGCGGCCTCAACGACGAGACCTGGTACATCCTGTCCTCCTGCATCGGCTCCTTCTTCGCGCCCTGCCTAATCATGGGCCTGGTCTATGCGCGCATTTACCGGGTAGCCAAGCTGCGCACGCGCACACTCAGCGAGAAGCGCGCTCCCGCGGGCCCCGACGGCGCATCTCCGACCACTGAGAACGGGCTGGGCACTGCGGCGGGCGAGAACGGGCACTGCGCACCCCCGCGCGCCGACGTGGAGCCAGACGAGAGCAGCGCCGCTGAGAGGCGGCGGCGCCGGGGCGCGCTGCGGCGGGGCGGACGGCGGCGCGCGGGCGCCGAGGGGGACGCGGATGTGCCGGGGCCCGGGACCGCGCCTGCTGACCAGGGCGCCCTGGCGGCAGCCCGGTCCCCGGGTCCTGGCGGGCGCTTGTCGCGCGCCAGCTCGCGCTCCGTCGAGTTCTTCCTGTCGCGCCGGCGCCGGGCGCGCAGCAGCGTCTGCCGCCGCAAGGTGGCCCAAGCGCGGGAGAAGCGCTTCACCTTCGTGCTGGCCGTGGTCATGGGCGTGTTCGTGCTCTGCTGGTTCCCTTTCTTCTTCAGCTACAGTCTGTACGGCATCTGCCGCGAGGCCTGCCAGCTGCCTGACCCGCTCTTTAAGTTCTTCTTCTGGATCGGCTACTGCAACAGCTCGCTCAACCCGGTCATCTACACGGTCTTCAACCAGGACTTCCGGCGCTCCTTCAAGCACATCCTCTTCCGACGCAGGAGAAGGGGCTTCCGACAGTGACATGGGGCTGACGGGCCTGCCCTCCTGATCACTCCCGCGGGGTGTGGGGGCTTCTCCCCAGAGACCCAGGGATGGACTGGCTTCCAGGGCACAGGGGAGAGAGGGCGCAGCAGGGCAGAAGCTAGACAGAGAGGCAGCTGGGCCTCCGGGGAGTGAGAGGGAGAAAGGGGAGACCCTTTGCCTTCCCATCTCAGCCAGGGGCTGCTTCTGGGGCTCCAGGCCGGATCCAGGTGCTGGAGCCTTGCCGAGGTCTGATGTGAGTGCACTTGTAGACTGCAGTGTTGGATGCAGCCCCTCCCCCCAAATGGGTGAGAAAGGAGCTTCCTCCCAAACACACCACCCAGTATTCCCGAAACAAGGGCTGACTTCCCCAGGACCTGGGGGGAGGAGGAAGAGGGCACCAACAATCTTTGATTACTGAAAGTATTTAAATGTTTGCCCAAAGCAAACGTCCCAAACTACCAAACTATTTTCTAAATAAACCTTTGTAATCTAAGCCTCAGGTGCAGCCCTCGGTCGCTAAGCCCATGGGGTACCCTCCAGGCCCTGCACTGCCTAGCCCACCCCCAGGTTTGGAAGGGGGCTCTGGGGGTCTCCACATGTCAGCTTCACCTCTTGCATGAGTAGGAGGGGGTCTTTTCTTTTTTTAACAACAACAAAAAAAGCAAACTGCTTTATTTACAACAAAATATATACTCAAAATCCTTGTGCTATAAGCAGTTAAGTAGCAAAGTTGACTTCAGATTTATCTCAGGGGACTGTCCTCTCTATATTTCCGTTCCTGCCCATTTCAGAAATCTGCCCCTGAGGGAAGAGATGGGGGTCTCCAAGTCCTGGCTCTTCAGGCCTCTGGGGCTCTGGACACTTTCCGGGTTTGCCTCTTTGAAGCAGGTAGGTGGGGTGAGGCCTGCCCCAGGAAGCAGAGCCCCTTACATGGAGTTGCAGCCAAGGCAGGCCCTTAAGGCAGGCCCTTAAGGCAGGCCCTGAGGCCTTTACCGCTGGGCTTGGCCAGAATGAGATGGAACAACCTGTTATCATTTCTGAAGCAAACGGAAGGTCATTGAGACCCAGAGCAACGAAGGTGGGAAATACCTGCAGTAGATGGGGAGGGAGCTGGAGCCTGCCCACCTTCCCCGGTCCCCCAGGGCTTCCTCCCAATGCTGCCCACCCTCAGCCCTGTTCAGCTCTCAGGCCCTGACAGAGCGGCTGGAATAAGGGAGACCCTGGGCTACAGTGGCCTCCTGGGTGCTGGGCCCTCTGGAGCCAGGATCCCACAGGTTCTTCCAGCCCCTGGCAGCTCTTGGGGTGGACGGTGGCAGCAGGACCTGGACAGGGATGAAGGGGACTCCCCACAGTATGCTGCAGCTCTGTGGGCCGCAGGAGTCTCCTGCTGGGAACCCCTTCTGTGACCACCCAGGCCCCCGCCTCCTCCTGGGACCCCACGTTTCTCCACACGTGCCCCCCGCCCGTCCCTGCTGCCCAGCCCAGCCCTCAACTCTCTCAATTCCCACACATCTGCTCTTGGCCTGGGGTGGCCCAGGGTCTGTCCTGGGGAAGGGTCAGCCCTCTACCCTGCCTTCATTCCTAAGCCCCTCTCCACTGAGTCTAGTCTGACCCGTCATAGCTGTCACTTGTAAAAGACCCTGAGCGCGGCCTGTCCTCGCCACCCTGCATTATAGAGCCTCAGGATACCCCAACTGGCCAGTGCTACCCCTCACTGTGTCCACGCAGAGACTCTACCACTGTGTGCTGGGTTCAGACACGGGGCCAACAGATCATGAGTCCAGCGAGCAGACAAGCTGTCAGTGGCCTGTCGAGGGGGACCAGCACGTCTCTGACCCCCCCCAGCTGGCCCTGGACAGACAGACCCCGGTTCTTGATGGGCTCCAACGTCTGCCTGTGAAGGAGGCGTTGCCGAAAGCTGCCTGGGCCCAGCTGGGCTGCAGGTCTGCCGTCCACCCTGCCAGCAGACCAGGGGCTCTTGGGGGGATGGCATAGTTGATACCACTGAGAAGAGGGAGGTGCCCAAGGGGCCACCCCCATTCTTAGAGAAAAGACCCCAGGCCCAGGGCCTCAGAGTTTCCCTCCAGGTGCTGCATCTTATCAAGCTTGCAGGATGTACCCCAAGCTGCTGGCCAGCTAGGAAGGCAGGCCCCTTGCCCGGTACTCAGACACCCGTCCAATCCAGGATACCCTTTCCTTGAGAGGAAGGACATTTTCAGAGCTCATGATTTTTATTACTAGCACATTTCATGGGGCTCAGAGAGATGGATCAACCTGCTTGTTGTCACACAGCTGCTGCTGAGACCCAGACAGCCTTCAGGTGCAATCACAAAATAACGTGTTTATGGAGCACGTTTCCACAGTCCCTTCTGCCCCTCAAGAGGTTGTGGGCAAGGGCCACTTTCCCCAGCTGAGAAGGGCACCCCAGAGGGTTCAGGCATGTCTTGGGAAACCGAGGTCATCCTCTTGTGGGGTGGAGCCTCTGTGCCAATGCAACATGCCAGGTTGTAGAGGGTCCCTGCCTATTGTGGCCAGGGCTGCCAGTGTCCTGGCTGGGGGTGGGCATGGTTAGTGCTTTAGGATTTCACTGGAACCCTGAGGTTTCGGGGGACATGCATTCACCCTGAGCCAGCACCTGCTGTGACTCAGAGCTGTGTGGCTACAAGCAGGTCACCTGTGAGCTGGAGGGCCCCTTGGTGCAGGGTTAGTGACTGCCCCAGCTGGGGCTCCTGGGGGTTCACTGTGCAGCAGAGCGCAGGGCCCACC